AGTCTCTTGCCATCTGCTTATTTGCCATTGGTTATATTCTTTTCTGTGAAATGTCTTCTTATGTCACATTATCATTTTCTAAGAGAATTTTTGTAGAGTTCTTTTTATATTCTAGATATTAATCCTTTGTCACATGACTTCAAAAAACATTTTTTACAAATCTATACCTCATCTTTTCAGTTTCTTCACAGGGAATTTTTCAGAGCAAAGGCATTTTTATTAGGCTGAGATCCAATCGTTATTCTTTTTTAATGGATTGTGCTTTAGGTATCAAGTCTAAGAACACTTTACCCCACGTCCTGATGGTTTTCTTCTTCGTTTTTTAATTTTCAGTTTTATGCTACACATTAATGTTCTTGCTCCATTTAAAAAATAAGATATGAGGCTTAGATAAAGGTTGGTTGGTTTATGTGTTTATTTATTTACTTCCAACTGAAAATGTCCAATTCATCTACTACCATTTGTCAAAAATAAAATCTTTTCTCTATTAAACTGCTTTTGGACCTTTGTCAAAAATCAATTGAGCATTTTTGTGTGAGCCTATTGATCACTTCTGGCTTTTGTTCCACTAATTCACGTCTTCTGCGTTTATTATTTTCTTCCTTCAACTTTCTTTTTTTTTTTAAATCATTTCATTAGGGGCTCATACAACTCTTATCACAATCCATACATACATCAATTGTTTAAGGCACATATAAATTTCTTTTGTTTTATTTTGCAATCCTTTTTTTAATTTCTTGAGACAGGAATCTATATTATTATGTTGAGATTGTTCCTTCTTCATAATGTAATCATTCAACAAAAACCCACTGCCACTGGCTTGATTCCCAGTCACAGAAGCCCTGTGGGACAGGGTTTGAGCTTTTCAGTTCAAATGACTGAGCTAGCAGCTCAGTGCGTAGTTTACTGTGCTACCAAGGCTCCTTGATGTGTGAACATTCATGTTTTACATTTCCCTCATATCACTGCTTTCACTGCATCCCACATATTTGGAGACATTGAACTTTCATTTTCATCCAAACGTATGTATTATACACACACACACACACATACACACACAACTCACAGGATTTCCTATAGTTTCTTATCGATTTGATATATAGTTTCAGTTGATTATGATTAGATAACCTTTCAATTCTTTTCAAGTGAGTGGGTCTGTTCTGTGGTTTTACTGGTGACTGTTGCCTAAGTGGCCTACAAGGAAAAGTAAAAATTATTACCACTATGGTTCTAGGACAAGCATGGATTTAGTCCAGACTAAACATGTTTTAAAATGTCGCTATAATGAATATATGACTGCAGACCAATTCTCTCAGTATACTTCTTACTGTCATTAGAATGCTTGACCAAAAAAATTTTTTAAATTAAAAAGTCCAGTGAAACAGAGGCTTCTGAAGTGATTGGCCGAGCCAGTTAAACTCAAGGCAGAGAGGTCATTTTAGAGTGTTATTTATGGCGATGGTGTTTTTGAACTTCCAAAAGGATTGTATTGTAGATTTCCCCCAAAGGACACAGGACAACCATGAGGCACATTATAAAGAATGTTAGAGAAAATGGAAAACTACACTGGTGAGAAAAGGACCAGCAAAGTGCTGAACCCTGCCCCCGACCGCTCCCCAAATCAGGACTATGTGCCTACCCATCCTTTGTGGGTATCAAGGGCCTCCTTGTGACACTTTCACTGGGAAACTTTCCCGCATACACGCTATAATCCTGATCATCCTCCCTTGGACTTCATTTTTGTTCCCCAAGCCAAAGGCATTTAAAAGGGACACAATTTGAGTTCCCTGAGGATGCCCAAACTGTAATTTGGATGTGGTGTAAATAGAGAACACAGAATTCGTCCCCAAAATTTTCAGAAATGGGAACAACTTCTTCAGAAATGTATAGACCTAGATGGGGGATATGTTGAGAATCAACACTTCCTATTTTGATAGTTTTATTTAATAAAGGTTTCTGTGATTTTTATAGCAATACATTCTGACTTACCCTCATATATGACTGTGCTTCAAAAATAATTATAAAATGACTCCATTATCCTTTAATTATTTTTCATGAATGTTTTAATGCTCTCCCATTTGTGACATTCAGAACTATATCCTTAGAGACTTTCCGTCAAATATCAGCTCTTACAGTTATTGAGAAATGAGTATTGAAACTCAAACTATAATTGTGAATTTTACTATTTCTCATTTTAGTTCTATCAGCTTTTGCTTTGTGTGTTTTGAGGGGTTACTATTTGTTGCATTTAGGATTATCATGTCTCCCTGGTGATTTGATTATTTGTTATCATACAAATCCCTTCTTGATCCTCAGTCATTCTCTTTAATTTGAAATCAATTATTGTATTACATGCTCATAATATTGCATGATATGTCTTATTTTTCAGTCTTTCATGGTTAACTTGCTAGATTATTAACTTTTAAGCGAGTTTCTGGTAAACATCAAATTGTTGGACCATGCTTTCTTTTAAATTTATCAACTTTTATGGTGATTACTGATACATTAGAGTGTAAACCTGGCACTTTGCTGTTTTCTGCTTGCTCTTTCTGGTTCTTGTGTTTCTGGGTATCTTTTATTGCCTTCCTGTGGCTGACCCGAACATTTTTAGGATTCCATCTTGATTTACCTAAAATGTTTTCTTAGTGTATCACTTTGTATAACTCTACAGTAGTGATCACGGATTATTATAATGTACATATTCACTATTCACCTGTATTTTCAAATGTATTGGCATAAAGTTGTTCATAATATTGACAGGACCTGTAGATGCTTTCTTTTTCATTGGTACTTTGAATTCCTCTCTATTTTCTTTTTCTTCATCTGTCTTTTCCTTTAGCAATCTACTAGAATTCATGAAGTGGTCACTTACACTTTTCCTTTTGATCATTTTTCCCTCTTGCATGTTTCCTCTATCTTTTAATGAATGATATTGTTTTATTATTTCATTCCTTCTACTTTTAAAACGTTTGAGTTGCTGGTATATTTATTCATATTCACTTATTTATTTATTAACATCATTAAATGAAACATTAGTTTCTTCATTTTTGACATTTCTTCATTTCTTAAATATGAATTTAAGGTAAACAGGTTTTTCCTCCTTATCATTTTAGTGAAAAAACTTTGATATGGCTTATCTTCATTGTTTCAGGAGAAAGGAGGGGTTTTCTACTCCTGTGAAAAGTTTTGGACCCTCACAGGAGCTGTTCTACCCTGCCCCATGGGGTGCCTATGAGTTGGCATAGACTCAATGGCAGTGACGGAGGGAGTGGTCTTCATTGTTGTTCCGCTTAAAATATTTCTTACTTTATGCTTTGATTTCTCTTTTGGCACATTAATTATTTAGGAGTGATTTTTTTACTTTCAAACACTAACAAAGTGTCTAGATATATTTTATTTAATGTTTGCTAATTCTGTCAAAATATTTCTTAATTGATTTTAACTTTGTGAACATTTTGTAGCTTTAAAAAAGCACCACTATATACTTAGCTTTGCAAGTGTTCAATGTACATTTGAACATTTTCTTTGAGGGTTTTGAGTTCTATATAGGTTATTAGCCAATTTTGTAAATTGTGTTGCTCAGATTTACTAGATCCTTAACTAACTTTCTGGCTGATTCCTCAATTACTATGATTGTAAAGTTGCCATATTTCTGTCAACCCAAGAAGTTCTTTTGTTGGACTCTTACATTGACTTATGATGTTCTGAACTAATTATTGTCCTACTGGGTATATGCTGGGCGGCTAACTGCAAGGTCAGGGATTCAAAAGCACCGACCTCTCTGTGGGAGAAAAATGAGGCTTTCTACACTTTGATAGAGTTACAGTCTCATAAACCATAGGGGTAGTAGATTCCAATATGAGTTAGCACTGACTTGATGACAATTAGTTTAGAACTGACTATTAGCAAGGAACATTAGTGTTGGTGGGTGGGGAGCTTAGGGGTAGTTCTTCTATTTCTTCAGCTCATGAACTATACCCCCACTCCTTTTGGTACAGGGATAGTTCTGTTCTTTTCTTCCACAAAGGACAATGCTTTCATTCTTCTCTTGAGTCATACTATGCATGTCTTCCTCTATGCCCTGTTGTGTTGGTAATGCCTTTACAATTTTCCCCTGTAGAAATTTCCACTCGCTGTGAGGCACTCTCTTTCTGGGGCTAACAGCTGGGGAGTTTTGTGTGTGTTGGGGGAGGGTTTGTTTTGTTTAAAGTTTGGCACGCCTAGTGATAGGGTCAAATACCATTCTGAGTTTTCTCAAGTACAGTCCACCCCACTCCCATGATGCTATCTATGAACCCTAAATTGTGCTTTTATTTTTATCTCAACTTTGTGATTCAGTTTCCCTGAAGGATTAAGCTGTCAGGTTTTTGTCATCTTTTGTTGCTTTATGTGTTTTAGAAGAAGTGGGAGAAATTACTACTAGGCTCGATCTATGATCCTGCCAGATCACAGAACTTAGTAAGTTGAACAACTATTATCCTGGGGTTTTTTTTAAAGGCAAATGTATTAAAAATTTAAAACAATGGTCTAGCACCCTGATTTTAGTGTCAGATGTAAAGTTATGACTTCATGTTCGTTATATCTATCTGATTTATTATAACATGGTGCTTTTGTTGATCTAATTCACTTTGTTGAGTAAGTATTTGATATGTGTATCAGTCTTACTCAATTTTGGCCTAAGTAAATTTAGTGCTAACTTGTTAAATCATTCTCTGTAAGTCCATCTCCACCAAATAAAGCCACACTTGTTGCTGATTAGTAGAATTTCCCCCACAGAGTTTTCAAGACTGCAAATCGTTATGAATTCAGACTGCCACATCCTCAGAGCCTGGAGTGTTTGACCTGTTAGTCTTTGGTTAACAGTCAAATCCTTAAGCACTGCACCACCAACTCATCACTAAATCCCTCCACATGACACATTTGCCTCACTTAACCCCCACAGTGTACATTTAAATTCCCCCCGAATCAACTTGTTATTATTATATTAGCTTCCCACAGCAATGGCTAATGCCACTACAGTGGATGAATTTCTTTTACTTGGTCTGACCAGCACACAAGAGTTACAATCTTTCTTTTTTTGTGATTTTCTTTATTATTTACCTGATAAAATTGGTTGGCAATGGAGTGATAGTAGTGATTGTTATCTTGGAGCCCAAACTCCACTCCCCTATGTACTTCTTTCTGGGAAACCTTTCTTGTATGGATATTTGCTATTCTTAAGTGACTCTGCCCAAGGTGCTCATAAACCTTCTCTCCTCTTAGAAAATCATCTCCTTCTTAGGCTGCATTGCTCAACTCAATTTCTTCCATTTTCTGGGAAACACAGAGGCCATCTTATTAGCCATCATGGCTTTTGACCGCTTTGTGGCCATCTGCTACCCCCTGCGCTACATGCTCATCATGAACCACCAGGCGTGTCTTCTGCTAGCAGGTGCAGCTTGGTTGACCAACTTACTTTATGCCCTGATGCATTCAGTCATGACGGCGCGCCTTGACTTTTGTCACTCTCAGATAGTCAATCACTTCTGTGATGTCAAGCCTCTCTTAGAACTTGCTTGCAACAATACATTACTCAATCAATGGCTTCTTGCTGTTGTCACAGGCAGCATATCCATGGGGGCCTTCTTCTTAACTCTTCTCTCCTACTTTTATATTACTGGCTTCCTTCTCTTTAAGCACCGGTCCTGCAGTGTGCTTCAAAAGGCTCTGTCTATA